TTTGCTGGTGAGAAAAAGACTCACCTCTGTATTTAGTGAAATATACTAAGATCACTTAACATGATTGTAGTAATACCATGCATTAAAAAAATACCCAAGTAAAAGACTTCCTCTGTTTCATGTGGGAGAAGTTATACTACAGAAGGGAAATAATTTAAGAATACATTTCACAATTTTACTATATTTTGCCTTTATAGCAAGAATTGAGAACTCAGTGATATTTTTAAAAAAGTAATCTTTCTCATTAAAAAGTTCTGTAATGCTATATATATAATTTTAATAGTTTTTCTTCCACCTTTTACAAAACACAGATAGTAATTCTGTGTAAAAATCTTACAGAATTATTCTGTTATTTAACAGTTTCTGTAATTCAAACACTTCATGAACATACCTATTAAACATCAGGTGCTCTGCTTAAGTAACTGGCCTACAAGGATGAGTAAGACAATCTCTGACCTCAAGGAACTCATGTTTTCAGCATAATTTAAACAGTGCAAGACCATTTTTATACCATAATGTATAAAACAAGTTTGTTAATATTTCAATATTACAAATTGGTACGGTCACATACAGGACTCAGTAATACAACCCAAACACCTAAAACAATGTCTAGTATATAACAGACATAAAATAAATTTTTTTAAATGAATTAATTCACTACTCATTTAAAGTAGAAGAGGCCTATCCATGGGACTCATTCCAAAGGCTTTCAATCATAACAAAAAGTTGTCTTGAGTCTTTATGCAAACTTGCAGTTATGGTTCCTAGATTCCTTTGCCTTATTTCCTTAACCCCTCGTCCTAATTTGTTAACATTACCACTGGCCCTTTATTCCTCCTTGATTCCATTTAGGTCACATGTTGGATTTCATCACACAAAATCCTACCACCTCCAGGATCTTAAACTCTTAAAGTTTCACCCTTGAACCACAATTTTCACATTTCCATTCCCTTATTTCTCAACATGACCTTTAGCCTCCCCCAGGGCCACTCCTTGACCTTATCTGTCTCTTTCCCTCTCAATACCATCAATCTCTCTCCTGTGTTAACCTTAAAGGAAAAGTCTTATACCTGCTATGTCTACTTCCTCCTCACTTCTCAGAATGTTTCATCATTTGTGCCAAGCCCCAAGCCTCCCTGCCACTTGGTCTGTAAAATGGAAGTTTTCCTAATCACTAGATCCCTCTAATCTTTCATTCTCAACCTCTTATGTCTGGCATTCCTGATTGCGTCTTTCATATTATTATTTTTTTGACATGGAGTCTCACTCTGTCACCCAGGCTGGAGTGCAGTGGCACAATCTCAGCTCACTGCAACCTCTGCCTCCGGGTTCAAGTGATTCTCCTGCCTCAGTCTCCCGAGTAGCTGGGATTTCAGCTGTGTGCCACTACGTCCAGCTAATTTTTTTTGTATTTGTAGTAGAGACAGGGTTTCACCACGTTGGCCAGGCTAGTCTCAAACTCCTGACCTCGTGATCCGCTCGTCTCGGTCTCCCAAAGTGCTGGGATTACAGGTGTGAGCCACTGCGCCTGGTCCTTTCTTTTCAAAACCCATTATCATCCTTAAGATCTAGGTCATGGAATCCTCTTGATCCTCTTCTTAACTATACATCTTTCAATAATACTATCTCCTTGATTGGATTTTCTTTTGCTTTTTTCCCACTAAATGTAAAGTATTCCTAAAGATTTTGTCCAGCTGTCTCTTTCCTTCTCTTATGCTTTCCCCTTCAATATTTCACATGCTTATAATGTTTAAACTATCACCTCTATGCAAATGAATTATAAGCCAGGATTTTAGATCTTTGAGGCAAAAACTGAATCTTATTTAGCTCAGGATTTCCAATAATCTGAAACACAGTAAGTACCTAATAAACTGTTTCTCATTGCTGTATTTTTGGTCACATTATTTCTTCCACTTGAGAACCTCCAAAGCCTGTATAACATGCTCTTTGATTTCTACCCTTTATAATTATATTCTTTACTATTTCAAAAACCTGTTGCTCAAGAAGTATTCCTGAGTCTCCAGACAGATATGTTTGGGGCCTCCTTTCCTTGTTCATGATAGATTATTGGCCATTTGTCCTTTATCATACCATTACTAGGGTATAAAAGTTATAAAGGAAACAGCCATGTCTTAACCATTTTTACTCTTTACAAAACATTGCACAAAGCAAACTGCTATCAGTTGGCAGAGACAACACTTCATAGTACCTGTTTAGGCATCTCCACAACAATAGTTTTCAATTCTTTGTTTCACTTTTCTTTTAAAAGGCTAGAATAAGCAGGAATTATTCTTTAAATGATTAAAATATAACATGCCACTTTGCTCCAATTGCAAAAGTCACTCACAAGGTTAGTAAAAGCTCACTGGGTATTCAGAATGATGTCTCTTTTGTGGCTTTAATCTTTTTATACAGCAGGGATTGCTGTTTTGTTTACACCCTTGGTCCATTGCCAGAAAAATAACCTTAGTCTACAACCATCTTAACATTTCAAACTACTGTTCACAAGGAAAATTTTGATCATAGACTGATGATGGCTCAGTCAATCCTATAATTACATTTAAAACAAAGCATATTCAGTATTAATAAAAAAGGAGAAAGATACTTTATTTCACAAAACAAAATACAACTCAAGTCAAATAGGCTCTATTAACCTTATGAGTACAAAACAAAATTATCTGGATATTACAATGTTCCACTTTTAGAAAAGCAAATGTTTCTCATATTAATGTACTTCAAATCAACAGATTTATTGCTCACAAATAAAACCTGTCTTGATGAAAACTTCTGAGTTCTGCTCAGAGAAAACATTTGCAAGCTGATGAATTATATCATAAAACAATATTTTTAGAAGATCACAATTTTTTTGCAGATATTAACATTCAAACATAGTTTCAATATTATGAATATAAATATTATTTTAGTTTCTATTTTGAGAGGTAACTGTATACATTTTACATAATAAAAATTAATATACATCTGCAATGCCTATGTTCTCAGATTATAATGAGCCGAATACTTTTCAGCAAAGCTTTTCAAATTCTACTGGCCAAATCAAATCACTACATATAAAAGTGATTAAAATCAGTACACAAATGCTGGTGTGTGGCAGTAACAAGGCATGGTAACTACAAATGTCTTTATTGGTATTAATGAATAATTCATTAAGGTTTTCTACCTGAAATTGTACTGAACTAATGCTTTGAATCTAAACTACCAGTGAACAAAATCTCCCATCACTAAGGAAAAGTCCAGAAAGTAAATAAAACAAAATAATTGTAAGAACTAAGTATGTTAAAGCACTCAATCTTTTTAAAAGTCAAGAAAATTGCTTACTATGACATAACTTTATGTTTTTTTGTGTGCTAAAAATGTCTTTTAATCTTTCAATGCTACACAAAATTGTTATATCTTGTCTTCAAATTTTGTCTCTAGTTCCTTAAAATGGTAAGTATAAATTTACAACATTACAAAATCAGGCTCTAATATACATCTTGCAAAGTATGGCTATTCATTAAAAATGGTAGTATATTCAAATAAAGTTGTTATGAGGACTTTAGTTAATATCAGTAATAAGTGAGTGTAATACCAAAATGAACATCATCAAAATTACTGTAAATCAAAGCAATATTCAAATTACTGGCTCACACATTAAAATTCTTCAGTATATTAATATTTAAACATTTCTGAACTCAAAATGTCCAAATTTTGTAAACCTGAATTTTGATTAAAGAACAGAAAGAAGTCTACAGTTACTGGTGACAAAACATTTCTCTCCAAGTAATTCTCATTTCACTCTTGAATTCTCCAAATGTTTTGAGCTAGTTAACCTTTTGTTTTTTTTTTTTTTTAGAACAAAACAGGTATATTTCTATTAGACTACCTGATACAGAAGATAGTGTGGTATGGATGGATAGTATGAATGACAAATAATACAAATATATTTTATTTGAAATAAACAAAAATGCATACGCAGCTCAATGGGTCACTTGGAAACAAACTGTTGCTTGACTACATTACTGAGCAAAAACAAAACTAAAGCACAAACACTTTTTTTGTTTTAACTTGTATCTGGAGATAGACAGGAAGACACTACTTGTTTCTTTTAAAAACTGACCTTCCCTTAAGGCCGGCTCATAGAACGATAAACAATGTAAATGAATCCACCATTATCAGTTGTTATATTATATCTATGTCATCTGTGTATTCTGAGATTACACACATACCTGCCAATATACCTGGAACAGGTTATTTTATCACAGTTACACTTGAGTTCTTGAAAGGCAGGACTGAGGAAGAGTAATTTGAAGTAAGTTTTACATCCTATTTAGAAGAAATCACTAGCATTTACTTAAATAACAGGTTACAATAGAAAGATGCTGCCTGGAATTTATCCTTTTCATTTTGGTTCATTTTTAGTTTTTGTTTATGATTACATAGCTGTTTAATTCATTTGCTTATAGTGCAATCCTGCATAAAGTACTAAAGCACAAGATACCTATTATTCCCTCAACATCTGCATTTTTCAAGTTTTATACTCTATATCCACAGTATTTCAGTAGTTCTTGACTGTTTAAAAAAATAAATGGGTAAAACTCTTCTAAAAATGCAGATGTCTATAACTACAATGGCACTAAGATGGGAAGGAGACAATGAGAGAAGGGATAAAAGCAAACATGTTCATGTGCAGGGAACGTGGTTCAAGTCTTTGGATTTAAAAACAAGTTCCCCAGAGAAGCTGACACTTCCTTTGCCCTCCAAAAAGAACCTGAAAAGTCCCAATCCAAACTTTTGAAAATTACAGTTCTGAGATGCAATAAATGATGATCAAAGCAGTCAGAGGGAGAAGGATGAACGTGTCTTCCATTTAGCTATAGATTGTAGTATAGCCCCTTTAGGTGCTAAGTGGATCAGTGAAAACCACTGAAGTACCAGAAGCGCTTGGAAGGATGGGGTAGAAAGTAATGACCATAATACCTTGTCTAAATCAGCAGCAGGGCTTCATGGCTAGGAAACTTTTTTCAACAGTAAAATGTCTCTAGGATAGATCTCTCTCTCCAACATAAAATGTGCCAGAATTAACCAAAAAAAAAAAAAAAAAGACTTACACTTGGATATAGCAATAACAGAAAATTGCAAGGCAGAGAACACAAAAGAATCAAGACAATGCTTATAGGTTCAACAGTATTCCATGAGGCTAGAAAACTGGTTAACTTTAAAAGCTCTAGCAAAATAGCACTCTTGTTTATAAATCACTTATTTATCATATGACCACACGTTGAATCCTTGTCTTTCCACATAGTGAAGAATCCTACATTCAGCCTCTAGGCATTCTGCATTTCTTTGGCAATGTTGTAGCTGAGTATCTTGTTCTAGTCGATTTTGGTGCGGGTACCTGGAAGCTGCCGGCGCAAGACCTTGAATGTGGTATCTGACATTGTTTGATAGTTTTCACTAATTGCTGTCTGACGCTCATTTTCTGCATTCTCTATGATTTTAATAAACTCCTTGGCAGTTTGTGTGTCATTCGAAACAGTCAGTGAATCATGTACATCTTTATGACTAACCAACTGAACATTGCCATCTTCATAATAGTGAACCTGAATCTTAAGCACTCCAACCACCTGGCCTGTAGGTGGTGTGATGGTCAACTTCCACTCTGATCTCCAACGACCATTCCATAAGTTTTTAGGCTGACTCTGGTGGCTTTCAATACACGCAATAATAGTCTGTTGCCCATCGATAGTTTTAGCATAAACAGTACAGAAGCAGTTGGAATAATGGTCTTTCACACAGGCTCTTAAAGCACTGTCACAGGATAATCTCCAAGACTTCAGACCTCCATCTACTTGTTCTGGCTGGGGGTCACTTGCTTCTTTCTGTAAGTGATCAAATTTAAAGGAAAATTTGTTTCTTGGTTCTAAAACTCTGCTATTGCCCAGGTCACCACGCTCTGTAATTAAGACCTGATCTTCATATCCTTCTATCTTCACAGGTGTGAACTGATTCACGTTGTAATGAGCAAATGCATGTTCTGCCCTTTCCCTGAGGAGGTTGTCATTATTACGTAGTAGCCGAACATCACTGAATACTTCATTAAATTCCCCTGGGGGTGCATGAGTGATGAATTCAGCAGCTATGCGTACCTTCTCCTCATCCAACACACAATCAACGAAGTTGGCCATCTTGCGCTGTTCTCAACATTTATATTTTAACACTTAAAAAGATGCATGGAATGGAAGCAAGGTCTTTTTTTTTCTGAGATATAAATAGCTTTTATTTATCTTACACTATATGAAATGCCATACACTATATGAAATGTATTGTATCTTGTAAATATTTAAAAAATCACTTCTGATGCTAATCTGGCCCCAAGTGTTTTTTCTTAATTATAAATTGAAAATTTATAATGATATAAATTTATAGGGTACAAAGTGATATTATAACCTCTGAATACAATGTAGAATAATTTAATCAAGGTAATTAACACAGCCATCACCTCAAATACTTAACTTTTTGTGGTGTGAACACTTGAAATTTACTCTCTGAGCTATTTTGAATATTCACCACACTATGCAATAGAACTCAAAAAAGAGAAAATAAAATTTCTCCTGTCTGAGATTTTGTACCCTTTGATCATCATCTTCCCATTCCTCCCATCCCTCAGTCTTTGTTTTTCTTTCTTTTTTCTTTTTTTATTGAGACGGAGTCTCGCTCTGTTGCCAGGCCACAGTGCTGTGGCGTGATCTCAGCTCACTGCAACCTCTGCCTCCCAGGTTCAAGCGATTCTCCTGCCTCAGCCTCCTGAGTAGCCGGGACTAAAGGCACACACCACCATGCCCAGCTAATTTTTTGTATTTTTAGTAGAGACAGGATTTCACCATGTTGGCCAGGATGGTCTGGATCTCCTGACCTTGTGATCTGCCAGCCTCGGCCTCCCAAAGTGCTAGGATCACAGGTGTGAGCCACTGCGCCCGGCCATCCCTCAGCCTTTGTAACCACCATTCTACTCTCTGTTTCTGAGTTCAATGGTTTTAGATTTCACATGTGAGACATGCAGTATTTTGTGTTTCTGTGCCTGATTTATCTTATTTCACTTAGCATAATGTTCTCTGATTCCATCCACGATGTTGCAAATAAGAAAATTTCTTTCTTTTTCAAGGTCAAATAGTATTCCATTGTGTACATACCAGATTAAAAAAAAATACATTCATCTGTTGATGAACACTTGGGTTGATTCCTTAACGTGTCTATTGTTAATGGTTCTGCAATGAACGTGGAAGTGCAGACATCTCTTTGACAAACTGTTTTCAAGTCCTTTGGGTAAATCCCACAAACAGGATGGCTGGATCATACAGTAATTCTATTTTTAGTTTTTCGAGGAACCTCCATACTATTTTCTATAAAGGCTGTACTAATTTACATCCCCATTAACAGTGTACAAGGGTTCCCTTTTCTCCACATCCTTGCCAATACTTGTCTTTTGTCTATTTGATAAAAGCCAATCTGACAGGTGTGAGATGATATCTTACTGTGATTTTAATTTGCATCTCCCTAACGATTAGTGATGTTGAGCGTTTTTTCATATATCTGCTGGCCATTTGTATGTCTTTTGAGAAATGTCTATTCAGATTGGGTTTTATTTTTATTTTTGAGACACAGTCTCGCCCTGTCACCCAGGCTGGAGTGCAATGGTGCGATCTCGGCTCACTGCAACCTCCACTTCCCGTTTTCAAACAATTCTCCTGCCTCAGCCTCCCGAGGAGCTGGGATTACAGGCGCCCACCACCACGCCTAGCTAATTTTTGTATTTTTAGTAGAGACAGGGTTTCACTATGTTGACCAGTCCGATCTCGAACTCCTGACCTCGTGATCTGCCCGCCTTGGCCTCCCAAAGTACTGGGATTACAGGTGTAAGCCACTGTGCCCAGCCTATTTTTATTTTTAAGCAGTTATTTTGAGATTATTTTGACTCACAAGAGTTGCAAAAATAGTACACAGAGTTCCTATATACTCTCTGTCCAACCTTACTTCTCCTCATGTTAACATCTTACATGACTAAAGAACAACTTTCCAAACTAAGAAATTAACTTTAACTAATTAGAATAAAGAATTTATTCAGATTTAATCAGTTTTCCCACCAATGTTACTTCTCTATCCCAAGATCCAATCCAGCATCTCATATTACATTTAGGTGTTGTGTTTCCCTAATTTTGTAGTCTGTGATATTTCCTCAGTCTTGTTTGGTATGACTATAATACACTGAAGTGTACTGGTCAGAGGTATTTTGTAAGATGTCTCTCTGATTGAGTTTGTCTGATGTGTTCTCATGATTAGAAGAGGTGATGCATTATTAGAAAAGATGGTCAATGTGCCCTTCTCAGAGCAATATATCTAGGGCCCATAATGTTACTATGTAGTGCTGGTGACATTAACTTTGATCACTTGGTTAAGCTGGTATCTGCTAGGATTTGCCACTGTAAAATTACCATTTTCTTCTAAAACAGCATTTTTATTAGAAAACAAGTCACTGGGAGCCGTGTTAACTTTGGGAACAAAAGCTGCCATTTAATAACATTAAACATGCCGAACAAGCTTTGTTCAAGAAATGATGCATCAATACTCAGGCAAATGACTATTCTTAAAAGATAAGGACAGTTCCTCTTTTGTGATAATTTTTGTTGGATCTAATGAAAAAAATTAGAGTTCATAGATTAAAACGCTAAAAATATGGAATATTTTATATACGTTTCTATATTCAAATATAGCTGTACTTCTAGTAAGGAAACAGAAAAAACTAAAACTAATATAATTCTTGTTTTACTTTACTTACCTTATTCTAAATCTTGTTCATCTTATGTTTCAATAAATAAGAAAGTCTTAGTTTTCCCATAATGAACATAAATTATTACAATTAGCTTTGAAAGTATAGACTGGGTATATTAATTTGCTAGAGCTGCCATAACAAAGTACCACAACTGTGTGACTTACAACAACAGAAATGTATTGTCTCATGGTGCTGGAGGTTAGAAGTCTGAAATCAAGGTGTCAATAAGGCCATGTTCCTTCTGAAGGCACTAGGAAAGATGGGTTCCATGATTCTCTCCTAGTTTCTTATAACCTTGGGTATTCTTCCTGTGTCTTCACATGTGCTTCTTGCTGTGCATGTCTCTGTGTCTACATTTCTCCTTTGATAGAAATACTGGATATGTATTGGATTAGGGCCCAACCTAATGATTTCATTTTAACTTGATTAGCTCTGTAAGGTATCTATAACCAAGTAAGGTCACATTCTGAAGTACTAAGGGATTAAGACTCTAACCTATGTCTTTTGAGGGGGAGGATACAATTTAACCTATAACATTTTCTTTATTTTTTTAAGAGAACTTAATTGACTTGAACACATTACCTTTCTCAAGTAACCTACTACTAAAATCCCAAATTAAAACTACAAAGTTCTACTAAAAAGTGAAGTAAAGTAATAGTCCAAAAATACTTGTGATCAAATCTTTCATTAAATAGACCCCACTGCAAAAAAAGGCTAGACAGTTGAAAATTCAACAGCCTGAACAGGCGCGATGGCTTACGCCTGTAATCCCAGTATTTTGGGAGGCCGAGGTGGGCGGATCATTTGTGGGCGGATCATTTGAGGTCAGGAGTTCAAGACCAACCTGGCCAACATGGTGAAACCCTGTCTCTACCAAAAATGCAAAAATTATTCAGGCATGGTGGCACGCACCCAGCTACTTGGGAGGCTGAGGTGAGAGAATCACTTGAACCCAGGAGGCGGAGGTTGCAGTGAGCTGAGATCACACCACTGCACTCCAGCCTGGACAACAGAGTGAGACCCTGTCTCAAAAAAAAAAAAAAGAAAAGAAAAGAAAGAAAATCCAAGAGCCTTTATTTAGGATTTATAGATGCCTACAACATTAACACATCAACTAAAAAAGAAAATCATGTTGTAATAGTTCAGAGTATAACATAAATACTCAAAGAAACTTTGGCTTTATCCACAAACCACCAAGGACAGGCCTGTCTCATTCCCTGATGGTTCCCTACTAAGTATAAACTTAAGTCTTGGCTGTCTGTTAAGTTCTAGTTAAACCATAACTTTTGACTTCCAGGTTTTTGTTTTTTTTTTTGAGATGGAGTCTTGCTTTGTCACCCAGGCTGGAGTGCAGTGGTGCAATCTCGGCTCACTGCAAGCTCCGCTTCCTGGGTTCATGCCATTCTCCTGCCTCAGCCTCCTGAGTAGCTGGGACTACAGGCACCTGCCACCACGCCCGGCTAATTTTTTGTATTTTTAGTAGAGATGGAGTTTCATGATGTTAGCCAGGACGGTCTCGATCTCCTGACCTCATGATCTGCCCACGTCAGCCTCCCAAAGTGCTGGGATTACAGGCTGAGCCACTGCGCCCGACCTCAGGTTTGTTTTTCATACATTGCCTCTTCAGTAATCTAAACTGATCTTTTAAATTCCTTATCCTGTAGCTTATGATGCCCACCCTTAACTAAAATCTGCATAGTTACTTGATATTACCAGAGCAATGCACAGCACAGCTCAGAAAACTTATTAATCAGAGTTAATTATCGTTTAAGTTTTAAGTCTTAGTCCTGTAAATTCATCTCTCCTTCCCTTCCTTTCTTCAATAATTGTTTCTTATTATTATATATTTTGTGCCAGGCACTGACTGGATACATATTGGTAAAATGGATAAAGTCCTTGCTCTTTAAATGTAGAAGAATTGACAAATAAGTAAAACACCACCAAATGTCTAATTATAAATTGTGAAGAGTGCTATGGAAGAAATTATAGGTGCAGCAATTACCTAGACACTATAATTAGAGGTCTAATTAAGGTCTGTATTAGTCAAGATTCTTTAGAAAACAGAACCAACAGGTTCTGTTTTTTACATATGATTTATTACATATGATTATAAGGAATTGAGATTATGGAGGCTGACCCAGGAAAGCTGGTGGTATAATTCTGAGAACCAAAGGGCTGATGGTGTAAGTCCCAGCCATGGGAGAAGACTGATGTCCTAGATCAACCAGTCAGGCAAATAGAACTACTTCTCTCTTCCTCCTTTTTTTTTTCTTCTCTGCAGGTCCTCAATGGATTAGACGATGCCCACACTGCACTGGGGAGGACAATGTGCTCTACTCACTCTACTGATTCAACTGCTAAACACC